AGCATTAAACACATACGATTGACATGGCAATTAGCGTGTTAATTGTAATAATTCAACTTATGTTGTAAAGTAAATATAATGTTTTGGTCTAAGTTTAACAAGCAGCGTTTTGCGTATAACTAGCCTCGTCTCGTCTCCACATTTTTACATTTTCCGTTACCCGAGACGGGCGCGTAAAATATGCGATTTTTTCTCGGAGTGATGTTTCTATCTTCTTATATTTCAGGCAAACATAATACTTTACTGGGCTCTGCTCTGCTCCTCTCTGCTCTTGCCTAGTCTCAGAGTTCTCTTACGCGAAAAATATATCCGCGTATAAATCAATGTCACTTTTTCGTATCCTTTACAGCGCCCACCCCCTTATAAGACGGTGTGAGAATGATAAAATAAAGCGACAGATTAAAATAAATTTGTGACCATTTTTATTCGCGGCAGAAGATTTTGCTGCGAGGAAAAATTTAGCGAGAGATTTTTGCGACCTTGACGCCTGATCCTTTGCGAGAGAAATTTTGTTTAAAGTAAAGTATTTAAAGTAAAAAAATAATTTTTTTGCTCTAGTTAATGAAATTATGAAATCTAACAATATCTATCAATGTTACTAATAATTTAATTTATACCTACTAAAATAGCTTTTTTTAAGTGTTTTTAATCTAGGACAAGGTCTTATTTGAATTTAAGAAATTATTCTATTAGTTATTTTCGACTTTGAGCAATTATCAAATTAACTATATCATAAAATATAACACACATACATATCGAACTATGTTCAATAAATTAAAAAAAGCAAGTGAAACTTTTGATTTTCAAAAATAAATTAAAACGATGTGCACGAGCATGGAGACTATTTCATTTATTAGCAAATAGTTTACAATTTGATCTAGGAATTAATTTTCGTACTTTAATTGCTTCTGAATAAACACTTTTTCTGTTTTTTACCCAATTTAATTGACACTTTAATTATTATGTAAAACTTAAATAATAAATATTATGTAAAACTTTCAAAATAATAAATATGAGCCTTTGCATACACTATTTTTCAAAATATTAAAAATGAGAAAAAACAGAAGCTTCAAAAATTTGAACAAAGAGATATTAAAAATTGGAAACTCATGGAAAATTTAAAAATTAAAAATATGAGCATATGTATTAATTATTTTCCAAAATTTTAAAAATAAGAACAAACAGAGGCCATTAAAATTTTAAAGAAAATGTTGTCAAAAATTACGAAAACATGTCAACAAACATTGAAGAAAAGTTAGAAAAATTTGCAAAAATAAGTGCAAGGAAATTGCGCATATAAATATGAGGAATATTAAATATTTTGATTGTGAAATATCAAGAAACATTATATTTAAAAAATGAATCAACAAATAAAGTGTATATAAAAATTAAATAAATATTTGATTTAAAATATATATACAATTTTAAAATAATGATAGTATTTGTAATTAAAAGCATAATAAAATACTTTTAATATAAAAAATTGTAGATAATGAAATCTACAAGTATAATAGTTTTCTCTCATTGAAAATTATATAAAATAGATTAAATTTGAACAATGATTGCTAAAGATTATAATTGTCAAGTATTTAGCAAAAACTAGGTTTGCATATATATTTTTATTTTCATAGTAAAAAGTTTGGTCAATAAAAGTCAAAGAATAATTAAAATAAATGAATAGAATTATCAGAATATAGAGACGACTTAGACTAATCAAACATACAAATTTTACGACAAGAAAATTTTTTTGAACGAACGAATTTCTTTTCTTTACTGATAAAAAATCTGTACAGTCATAAATTTAATATATTTCTAAAATTTTTCTAACAGTTTCAGTAATATTCATTATACTTAAATAAATTAAAATTTACTCAAAAACTATTCGAAAACTCTCATAAAAATACATAGTTCTAATATGTGCTTTAATGATAAAATCAACTTTGTAAAATTCTTCAACTAAATGCTCTACATAATTAAATTACAATTCCATTTTATAGAAGAGTTGCAGCAGCAGCAGCAGTAGTTCTAATAAAAAATCTGCACAATCATTAATTGCTGCAGACGTTGAAAATAATGAAAAATAATAAAAAAGGCAAATGTAGCATTAATGGAAGTGGATGGTGGCCCTAGGTCGTTCTAATTGCTGAATCGGATCTAAGAAATCTGTCATTGTCTAGTTCTTGCATGCGCTGACTTTTATTAATGGCATGTGTACGCAGTTACTTATTTTCTTGCACGACTGGCACAAGACTAAACTAATCTATTTTACGAAAGTCGATTTACTTTTAATATTCTGATATAATACAATTTATCATTTGCATAAACAAATTAAAATTAAATTCATTTTATGTATAAATAACTTTCCGAAGGAGAAGTATATGTTTTCATAAAAAAATCGATTCGCTAATTTTATGTTTTCTCGACGTTTCAAGCCATACAGAATCGAATGAGACTAAATTTGAAAATAAAGTATGTAAGTGTGTGTATGTGAACAGCATTTTTTGTTCACGTTTTCGGGCGCACGGATCAACCGATTTGAATGATTCAAAAACATTAGATTCCTTTTGATATTGAGATGTGCTGGTTAGTTTTTGACAAAGGCAGGTCCAAACGCTTTAGAGATTTTGAGCAAAGAGTGCAGTAATTAGAAATCGAGTTTTTGTGAGAACTGCGCATTATATTTGAATTATATAAAAAACATTCAATTTGTAATGATAGTTTTTGGCAAAGGCAAGTTTGGCCGTTTTGAAGATACGGAACTAAATGCGCAAATAATGACAGTTTTTGAGGAAACAAAGTATCCGATTTGAAATGATGCAAAAAACTTTCTGCTTGTGTTGACGAAACGATTGCTGGAGTGCATTTTCAAAAATAATTAAGTAGATTTAATTAAAATTTCAATACTTTATGTAATTTAAAGATGATTTCATTAGACATCGATATTTTTTGTACACTTTTTTGTTTTTGTATATAAAATCGTCACATACTTAATCTAACTTGGAGCTAATCTGCTCCAATTGCTTTTGTCGATTTCTTTTTAATTTCCATTTTAAATGTATATCAGAAGTAATTTGGATTTTAATATTAATTCTAGCTAAAGTTCCAGAGGCTCACTTATATACTTCAAATAATTTTAACTTGGTAATTCATATTATAAAATACTTAGTAAAATTAGACAATGTCCTTTATTTTAAATCCTATTAATTAAGTTTACTTTTCTCTAATACATATATAAACGGCATTCTCCAATTCATAAACTCATATATTTCGTCTTTAAAACACGAATGCTAAACGTTACAGCATTTATAAAAATCTATTTGAAAACATTCAATATTCCTCGAATATTTCATTACGGTACGGGACTATTTCATACACCCCTAGTTTAGGTTGAATTTATGTAATTAATTGATTTATGTTAACAATTCTAAAAATTTTGCATAAAAATTCACACCTCCATATATCTTCTATTCCAAAATCCTTTCTGCTTCTAACAACCCACATTTCCCACCGTAAATGCGTATCATTTTTTTCCAAATTGTTATGTTAGAAAAACCTGATAAAATACTAAACATAGACACATCGCGGGACTTGAAGTTTTTCCTCTAAATCAGCCGTAAAAAAACCTGCCGGCAGGAAATCGACGCGCTTTTTTCGTGCGTCAAACGCATTGCGTTATCTACGGAACGAAAGAGTGGCGGGCAGAGCCAATGAATCATAAGATAATAAAAAAGTCGCTGCTAAAATACCAAACAACGGCAAGTTTTTTGACGTGGCGTTTTTTATGTTCACCTTTTTGATAGTCTGAGAGAGTTTTATTTTAATAGAAGAGGAAAGTTTTTATATACAGCATGTACTGATAAGGGGAATGAACGACATTTTTGTATACGTGACAATTGATAACAAACGTGAAAAGAGATTGCAATTATTTTCCATTTGCATTTACCTTCTCTTACTACTAAGGTAATAAACTATATAAAAACTAGTGGTGCATAAAGTCGTGCCTTAAAGTAAAGTCCCCGTACAGCTTAAATTTTTTTTGAAAATTTTGAAAAATATTTTTTTGAACATTTCATTTTGTTTGAATGTTTCATATTTTTAACATTTCTGATAATCCTGTAATGTTTTGAAAATCTTGAAATATTTAATAATTCTAAATTTTCTTCAAAGTGATCCTGCTATGTAGCTGTTTCAGAGACAAAATACAGTAGCGCGTAAGCGCTCTGTCGTAGTTTTTATTGGTTTAACATTGTGAATATGATGCAAAATCCAGAGGCATGTAAACAAATTTTGTACTCAATATTGAAATCTCTATAAAATATCTGATAATTCGATGCGCAGATGTCTACAAATCACTTTTGACCTCCAAATGGCGTTTGTTTTTTTAATTTTTTTTAATAAATCTCTCTGTGCTCTCAAAATTGTTGGCAAAAATTTGTATACAAACATACACACACCAAAATGTTCAAAACATACTCACTTACAAACATACACACACCAAAATATTCAAAAGAATTTAAACCGCAAATTCACGCAAAAATTTTCATTCTCGATTTTTTTAGATTACTGTTACTTACTCTACAAAAAGTCGAAATAAAAACGCTTAGAAGATGTATCATCCCTCTTGTTTATACTATTTTTATACATCTGAATGAAGCATGATTCTGCAAAGCGTTTCTTAGAGAAATTTATCTCATGATAAAAAACTGCAGCAATGTTAAACTAGAAACTATGATTATAATTTTTTATATGATCGGCGATCATTGTTTGATTATTATTCTAATTTTGGCGTTATAATTTTATTTTAGGCGTATATTCAGATACTGCCCTGATTCGCCTACATAGATTGCACCACAATCTTTGCAATCAATTTTGAATACTATGTTGGATGTATTTATATATATATATATATATATATATATATATATATATGCAAATATAAATATTTGAATGTCAATCTTCTACAAAGCATCTTTTGTCGTTTAATTTTCCTCCCGTTGCAGGTGAAAATCCCGCAGCAATGCAGCACGGAGGCCGAGGTTTTGCCCTTCTGACCTCCCATACAACCAGGTTACTAATAGTAGTGAGCATAACATTGGCAAAAGTTTGCTAGTCGAATTTAATATAATAAAAAAAATAAGCTAAATAATTTAAATATTGTTGAAAAGATGAATGTTAAAGATTTTACAAAGAAAGAAGTAAAATGCTGGGTTAGTGATTGAAAAAATAGTGTAAATATTTAGTCGAAATAAAAACAAAGTGGAAGATAATGAAAGATTTTGTGATATGTGTAATTATGTGAAAGATTTAATAACCATAAAAAATGTACAATAATAAATGTGATAACTATTTGGATATTTGTGACGAACAATTAAATCCAAAACAAATAAAATCAAATTTTTAATTTTATTTGAAAAAAAAATAACGAAGTCGTTATACAAAAAAAAACAATATTGCAAAGTGTTATTTTTTAAATTATATTATTTTCATAATGTGATATTTTTAAATTAGTTTCTCAAAAATGACTACTGTGAATTACTATTCGTCCAAATGTGGTATAAAATATTGTATGATTACCTACTATATATTATTACTAAGAAAAATATTAAACGTTACCTCTTAATTGTAATAAGAATTGTACTAATATGAATACTAAGTTGAGAAATTATACCTAATATTTAATAAATATTAAATAATACACATATGTACATTGTCAAAATTTTTCTTCAATGTTTGATCTAAGTGTTGATAGTGAATTATTTTTATATATGGTATAATTTGTGACAAATATTTATTAAATATAGATTAATTAATTAGATTTATCTATCTATATATTATACTTATAGTTGAGATTTATTGAATTTTTAAATTTATTTACTGATGTTATATGAAAATATTATTGATATATTTTGTTGAAGTTGAAGTTTCTGGAGAGGAATAAATTTTCAAAAAATGGATGCAGTAATATGACAAGCAAAAAAAATATGTATTGTGAATGAATTTTATCTGCAAAATATATAAAACAATATATATTAGAAATATTGATTTCAGCCAACTTAATTTTATTTATTTCACAAGAAAATTATTTATCAAAAAACATATACTACTAATTATTTATATATTCATTGATTTATTTATTATACGCCAATCGACTATATAGATTAATTAATATAAAATTAATTATTATAAAATGATCAAATTAATGGATTGGATTTGTTATTATAAATTATTGTAACTATTTAATTATTTTGTATAAAGATTTTAATTTAGTATTTTCAATGAGCAAAATAAAATTTAAAGAAAAGTATTAAAATTATTTAAAAAAAATAAAAATTGTTATTAAAATACACCGATTGAGATTTTGCCCAAGTTAAAACCAGAAAAATGTTTTTTTACAACAAATACAAAGTAAAATATTTCTAAACTGAAGTTTGGGCAAATGTTCAAAACATTTTATATATTACAATTAACTACAAATTTATTTTTTCTAGTAATTCCACACAAAAAATAATTATTTTTTTGTTAAAATTATATATTAAATAACAAGATATATTTTATACATTGTTGGTAAAAAAAATCAATTGTTTCAAATTTACTTGTAAAAAAATTTGAGAGTTTAAAGTTTTTTTTATTATTAGGTTTAAACTTTAGAAATTCTAAATTATTTATACTGTTTAAATTATCAGGCATATGTTTCAAGTATAAATTTCTAATTTTATTTATGTATTATAAAAATCTATAAAATTTCAGCTATAATCTATCTGTAAATATGTATGTAATTTATATTTAACCGTTTTTAATAAAAAAATATTTATTCATTCTAACAAAAATATGATTGAGACGAAAGTTTTAGATATTGTTAACAAATTAGTTACATTAATAATATATTAATAAGATGAATAATGTAATATATGAAAGTTTGTAAAATACTTTGACATAATCGTATAATAAAATTATGATAATAAATGATAGTTTCTGGATTTTGGTTTAAAATATAAATTTATTAATTTAATAAATATTTTAGATGATCGTTGGAGACTTTTATTGAAAGGTCAGTATTAAATTCTTTATTTTCTACTTTAAATAAATCAATAAAATATTGTTGATATGCAATTAATATGATAGTCTGATATATTTAAATCTTGCATGGAATTTAAATAAATTCTTAATTTTTTTTTAACTAAAGTACAATTTTCACTTATTATATCTTCACTTACTATATCTTCACTAATTAAAAAATGTGTTTTATTATTTTTGTATCAATTTTCTCTCACAAAATAATTAGTTATGTTTTTTAATTATACAAAGTACGATAAAAGTTTCAGAAGTCCATTTTTTGGAAGGAGAAAATTCAGGATTTTGGAGAAAAGTGTCGAAACATAAAGTTTTTATTTTTTGTGTATTTTATTAATTTGATGTATCCAAAGTTGCCATTTTTTATTTCAAAATGTACAAAATTAATATCTCTGTACAATAATTGTATTTTTTTCATTCTCATTTTAACTAAAATCGACAAGAATGTTTCTTCTCTTTGGAGGGTGAATTTCATTTTGGGGAAAAGTGTCGAAACGGAAAACCTGAATGACTCCTTATCAACGTAGGCGTTGATAACATATACACCGAAACACAACCATTCACACAAACTTCTTCTGGGACATCAAAAATCAACACAGAATTAAGGGCGAAAATACGCAAATATAATTTAGACCGGTCAAAAGAGATGTTTTTAGAGAAAATGATAAATTATATAAATTATGACTAATTTGGTGATTTGAAGCATATTTTTAGTACTGCATTCTGGGTAATAACAAAAGTTAATCAACTGATTAACTCCATAATTGTGTCGATTGTTAATTAAAAATAAAATTACAGAAGTGTATGTGAGTGTTTGATTAATTGATAATTAATTCAAATATTATTTCTTCTAGAATTACAATAAATTTGTTCAAAAATTTATTAATACAATTTGCTAAAATAATTAAATTGAAAATGTTAAATTTAATTCTCTGAAAATATTTATTTGAATTTTGAAACAAAAAAGAAAAGTAACATATTATTCTAATTCTTGTTAAAACAAGCAACGGAGTAATTATTCTTATACTAGTAGAAATACTAAAACTCAATATATTTTCAATTGTTAGTGATTTTTTCTTTAAAATGGATAAAAGTAAAAATTCAAGTGAGAATTAATTTAGTATGTGAGAATTAATCCAAACCCAATTTTTGATAAATTATATGCTCAAATGTATCAATCTAAAAGTTATTACATTGTGAAACTGTTCAAGTTTGTTACATTTTTGGTGCTTTATTAGTAAATGCAAATTATATTATTATATTGTGTTTTACCATTTGAAAAGAAGTTTAGTTTTAATTTTCATAGTCGTGTTAATAATACAACACAATCAATCGATTTAATACATATTTTTGTAGTTTGTTAATTTAAAAAAAAAGGGCTATAATATAAGCTTGATTTTTTGAGAATTATAAATTAATTATTACGAAAATGTGCAAAAAAAATTAATTTTGAATTTAAGACGAATAACTTACCATACAAGACGTTAAAAATAACAATAGAAAAAAACTAGTAGTTAATGGCATCGTTAGCCTTGAGGAACTTCGTGAACCAAAAATCTAAATTTCTAAAAAAAAAACTTTGAGAAAAATTTATTTTTGAGAACTTTGAAATTTTTGAGAGTATTAGGCTTTTTCGATTTTTTTTCTTAAGAATTGAATGTTTTTTGAATCATTCAAATTGGATGATTCTTGGTTGATCAAAATCGTCGAGAAGAAAATTGTATTAACACATACATACACACACACATTTTTTGTAATATATGCCAAAATGTTGAGAAAGTTTTGAAACAAATATATAAAAATTGTATCCGCACACACACACGCATACATCCATTTTTTCTAATGTATGCCAAGAGGTTCAGAATGTTTTGAAACGTAAATATATATGAAAATTGTATCGACACATAAACATAAACACACACATGTTCAGAAATATATGAAACCTAAAAACTGTATCTGCACATACACACACACACATTTTTTCTAAAATACGCCCTAATGTTTAGAAATCTATCAAACGTAAAAATTGTATCCACACACACACGCATACATATTTTTTTCTGATTTTTGCCAAAATATTCAGAAAGTTTTGAAACGTAAAGATATATAAAAATTGTATCCATACATACACATACACACATTTTATGGGAGGTGCAAAATGTTCAGTAATCTATGAAACGTTAAGATATACAAAAATTTTTGCGATTACTATAACTTACTCTACAGAAAGTTAATCATTTTTGAATAATATTTTACAGTTCGATTATAGATTTCTAGTAAATATTAGTGTTGCTGTTTTTTCAATTTGCTTCATTTTTAAGACTTGTGTATATAGATAATAAATTCAGTAATAGACCAGAATTAAAAGAAAAGTTATTTGCGTCAAATATTTCAAATTTACCAATAAATTGCAAATGTATTGCTTTAAAAAAAAAACAATAAATTAAATAAGATACTTATTTTGCAATTAATGTATTTGTTTGCAATTAATAATTGATTTTTGATCAAAATTTGCAAATAACTGCGCTTATCAAAAAAGTTCATGATGTACCTAGAAGTAATAAGTCTTGTATGAGAATGTATATTATATATATATATATATATATATATATATATATATATATATATATAATTGGTTGTCAAATATCTCCCTTCCGCCTTTTTGTACTATAAACCAGAAGCAAAAAAGCGGCAGGGAGATATTTGACAACCTAATATATATATATATAATATATATATATATATATATATATATATATTAATGGAATGTTTTCTATTTTTGCGGTCTATTTATATACAATGTAAGCTGCAGACAGAGATCAAGATAATTTTTTCGAGAGAAATTTGGAGTGGGCTCGACGAAAATAAATCAATGTTTGTTTGTCCTGTATACTTTACTTATTCAAAAAAAAAAAGAAATCGAAAATCTGTAAAATTAATTAAATGATACAAATTTCATCGTGTAAAACTTGTAACAAGATCATTTAGTACTGAAC